ATTTTTTGTAGAAAGACGGTCTCACTATGTTTGCAGCTCAAGGCTGGTCTTGAACTCCTGGGTCTCAAGCAATCCCCTCCGCCCCAGTCTCCCAAAGACACAAAAATCATACGCTGAAGTTGATAAGATTACAGTAAGAATGAATCTTCTATCGGTGAAATTGTGAAGAAGCAAAAAAAACAACCTTAGTTAGTTTTTGCTGTGTTATACCTCAAACTGCAAAAGTTTATGGCCACAGTACATGTATAGAAACATAGTATATCAACGTGCATTGCGTACTATGAAGTTTTCGGGGCATCACCACTGGGAGTCTTGGAACATATACCCCTTCACAGATAAGGAAGGCGACTACCTGTCAATCCAAAGGAAAAAATAGGCAAAGGAATTTAACAGACCATTTCACAAAGAAGACTATACAACAAAGCCAACTAAACCCTATGGAAACATAGGAACTCACACATCATTAATCCATTGGGAAAAATGCCAAATTCGAAACGCCAGCGAAATACCACTTATCATGTCTGCATGAGAATGACAATAACCAAAAAGCCATAAAACAGATGGCTGTTGGGAAAGTAGATGTTTATATCTATCTTGAGAAAAGCCTCGATACATTGTTAGGGGTATTTAGTGATCCCTTGGAAGACTATTAGGACAAAGGGAAAATATCCCCCGATAAGCAAAGAGAAAAGGCAAGGCTTTCGTCGGAGAAAGCTTCTTGCAGTTAGGGGAATGTCGGAGGTGAGAAATGGTGCAGCTTCTCTTGGAAATATCAATTTGACAGTTCCTTAAAATATGTGTCTTTCGAATGCAATTGGGGAGTTATCACACATGATTCCAGACAATTCCCTCTCCGTAATGGTATATCAGCCGAAGAATAAATGATAAACACGAATGTCCACACCAAAAATGTTATATAGCGAGTTATTCACAGCAACGCATATCCATAATACGCCAAAAAATGAAAAACAATAAATTTCTACCTCTAGCTGATGAATGGTGTTTAATAAAATGTTGGTGGGTCCACACAATGTGAATATTACCTTGGCAATAAAAACACAAAGCAAATGAAGTACTGATACATTGTCACAGCCGTTTGGATGAACCTTGAAAAACATTACCCTAAGTGAGAGGGAAACCAGTTAGAAAAGACCATACACTTGGCCCCGGAGCGCAGTGGCTCGACGCCTTTTTATAAATCCAGCCAGTGTGGGAAGCCGAGGTGGGCAGATCACTTGTGCAGGTCAGCCGAGTTTGAGACCACGGCCTGGCCAGTGTGGTTAAAGCCTGTCTTCTTGAAAATACAAAAGTTAGGCCAGGAGTGGTGGCACGATGCCTGTAGCCCAGCTACTCAGGAGGCTGAGACAGCCTGTAGAATTGCTTGAACCCGGGAGGAAAAAGGTTTGCAGTGCAGCAGAGGATTGCGCCGTGCACTCCAGCCCTGCCGGTGACAGAGCAGAGATGTCGTGGTCTAAAAACAAAACAAAAACAAAAACCACATGGATTATATTATTTACATTGAGAGTGTCTAGAATTTGTAAATTATAATTTCTCCTAGAGACAAAAAACAGGTTGGCCAGGCGGCGCAGGCTCACGGCTGTAATCCCCAGCACTTTCGGGGAGGCCCAATGGTGGCGTGGATCGATGAGAGGGTCAGGAAATCGAGACCATCCTGGCTAATACGGGATGAAACCCATCTCTACTAAAAACACAAAAAAATTAGCAGGGCGTGGGGGTGGGCGCCTGTATCGGGTTTACTTCGGCCGCAGGCTGACGGCAGGAGAATGGCATGACCCAGAGGCAGAGCTTGGTGGTGGATGCAGAGATCGCAACGGGCCCGCGCTGCACTCCAGCCCTGGGGCACAGAGCGAGACGTCCGTCTCAAAAAACCGCGCCGAGGAGAAGCGAGCGAACCGCCACCAACAACCCCAGAGAGAGGAAAACAAAACAAAAGAAACACGTTGACTAAGCGGTGGGGATTAGAATAATCGGTGGGGAATTGAAGGTCTTACAGGATGGGGTGCACCAACGGTTCTTTCGGAGTGATGAAAGAAGATGCTCTAAATATGAATTGGTTAAGGGCTGCACACACTCTAGATGAACGATACTAAAAGCCACGGGATTCATAAACTTCAATGAATTGTAACAAAAAAAAAAAAAAAAAAAGCCTCGGTGAAAAGGCTGTGTGCGTGGCTACGCACGCCTGTGAAGTCCCAGCACTGTTGGAACTAAGGGTGGAAGGCGAATGCACGGATCAGAGAGCTCGCGAAGACCACGAGCTGCAACATGGTGACACAGCCACCGGCTCTACTCAAACAATACAAATTAGCTGGCGCGGTGGCAGGCATCTGTCAATGCCAGACCTACGTTGGAGAGGCTGAGGAACAGGAGAAGTCGCGTTGAGACCCAGGACGGGTAAGACGGTTGCAGTGACCCGCCAAGCACTCCGCACCACCGCCCCACTCCAGCCTTGGAGCAACACAGCCAGACTCCGTCTCAAAAAAAAAAAAAAAAAACAAAAAAATTAGTAAGTTGTATATTTCCTATACCTATTAATTTTAACATAAGTTGTATTTCTCAAAATGATTGAGAAACATTAAGAAATAAAACCAGACATCCTATAATGAATGTTATCAATTTTCTATAAAGCTCACAGGATTTTGCTTTTTTATTTTGTTATTATTACTATTTTGAGACCAAGGTCTCGACTCTGTACCGCAAGCTGGAGTGCAGATGGTGCAGTCACAGCGGGAGCTGTCAGCGGACACTCCTGGGCTCAAGTGATTGCCTAGCTGCCCAAGGTAGCTGGGACCACAGGTGCAAGCCACCGCACACTTGGCTAATTTCTGTTAATGTTTATTGTGTGGAGATGGGGTCTCCTGTGGTCTGCCCAGGCTCGGTCAATTGACTCCTGGGCTCGAAGCAATTCCTTGCACGGCGTCGGCGTCCCAACTGCCTGAAATTACAGGCATGAGGCCACCATGCCAGCTGGTTTTGTTATTATTACCAATTGACTCCTTATGTTTTTAAG